CTATACATGTTGATCGTAATGCCCCCTTTCTTTTTTCCCACCCTTATCCCTCCCTTCCCACCCGTCCTCCCCAATCCCTTTCCCTTTGGTAATTGTCAGTCCATTAAGGACACTCTGATTTTAAACTTTACATGTATTTACTGATTTTATGTAACACCCAATTGTTACTTTAATTGTATTACTAATGTATTTGAGCCAAGTTTACACATTTTTTTTTCCTGACTGATTAGGTTGCTAAGTATTCCATTTTTTACCTTTATAAGCCTCAGGCTTGGCTTTTAGTTTTGGAGGAATTTGAATGTATGCATGTGCAGTGGAGAGTAGAGGATTTTAAGCAGGCACAATGGCATGAAGTATCAATTTTTTAAATGATCACTCTGGCCTTAGTATGGAGAATCTTAGGGCAAGAACAAAAGTAAGGAGACCAATTAAAGGATATTTCAGCAATCCAGGGGAGACAAAATGGCAGCTTAGACTAGGAAGATAGCAGTTGAAATGGAGAGAAAGGGATGAGTTGAGACAGACTGTATTCAGAAAAAAAATCCACAGGGCCTATTGTTATGGGGACTGTTGGAATCAAGGATAATTCCTAATACAGTCTGGCTCTAGTCCACGTCTGCCTCATCTCATACCATATTCCAACCTCCTTTCTTCTGTCCAACACACTAATCTTCTCTCAGGCTTTACAAATCGTCTTTATCCCTTTCTCCTTCCAACCACAGGGCCCTTGCACATGCTGCTCCCTGTTGCTCTTCTTTCCACCCCTTGCCTAGTTCAGTCTTCTTCAGCCTTCTGATCTCAGCCCACTTTCTCAGAGAAGCCTTCCCTGGCCTCTCTGAACACTGAACAAGTTAAATTCTGAGATCCCATGTACCTCACATTTAAGAATGTATAGTTCTTACCTTCACCTGCTCCCTAAGCTCATTGGAGACTGAGACCGTGTTTCTGTTTGCTTAGTACTGTACCTCCAACAAACTGCACATGGTTCATACTCAGCAAACATTTGTTGAATGGAAATCAGTAAATTCTGGTGCCATTTATTCATGATTAGAAATAGGGTAGGAACAGTGTTTAGAAGGGTGAAAATCAAGAGTCCTGACAGGACAAGTTTGAGATTGCTGGTATCTGAGAGTGCTGTCAGATAGGCAATCAGGCACTGGGTCTGGAGCCCGTAGGAGAGGTCTGCATTGGGATAGTACATTTGGGAGTAGTATTATAATGCTATTGCTTAATATCAGATGAAATGGCTTAGGGGTGAGGGGCATGGGTGTTGGTTCATGTGTGTCTGGGAGTGTGTAACCTTGTGTATTGGATTTATTTCTAATTCTCAAGGAATTTCAAACTGTGACCTTTTGGCTCATAGCTTTATTTAGCATTACAAATCAGTGTTTATATTTTTAGACTCCTCTGAGTTTTAGTGGAGCATAGATATTAACTCATTGGTTTCCCACTCTTTAGAGTTGATGAAATTAACAATAAAACAGTCAAGTGACTTATACGAGAGAGTAGGCAAATTACTGATATAGTTGGACATGGAAATGTACCTGGAGCATGTATGGTGACCAATGATAATCTTCTAGAAATCCAAACCATTTACTTCAGTTTTGCCTCCATCGTGTAGTTTTTTAATCAGATTATTGCATTTCCAGTATTTCTTCTTAGCGTAATAATGGCTATGGTAAATAGCAAGGGGTAGGTGGATGGGAATTTAAAACTTACCACAAATCTGAACAGAGGACTCATTCCCAAGTGGGCAAGATTTCATGATGCTGCTTTCCTCACAGGCCATATACGAACGCCTTTTTTGTTGGATCGTTACTCGCATCAATGACATTATTGAGGTCAAGAACTATGACACCACAGTCCACGGGAGAAACACTGTCATTGGTGTCTTGGATATCTATGGCTTTGAAATCTTTGACAACAACAGGTAAACCGGATAAGATACTTAACACTCTACTTTTCATTATTTGTGTGAACCTAATTTATCCTCTTCATGCAGCTTTGAACAATTCTGCATTAATTACTGCAATGAAAAACTGCAGCAGCTATTCATTCAGCTGGTTCTGAAGCAAGAGCAAGAAGAATACCAGCGGGAAGGGATCCCCTGGAAGCATGTGAGTGGGCCCCTGTGGGGACTGTCTCCATGCGTTTTTCATTATTTGTGTGAACCTAATTTATCCTCTTCATGCAGCTTTGAACAATTCTGCATTAATTACTGCAATGAAAAACTGCAGCAGCTATTCATTCAGCTGGTTCTGAAGCAAGAGCAAGAAGAATACCAGCGGGAAGGGATCCCCTGGAAGCATGTGAGTGGGCCCCTGTGGGGACTGTCTCCATGCGTGTCACATGTTACTGATAATGTCAAATCGTTTTAGGTTGTTGGGTTTTTTTAAATCTTTTTGGGGACATGAAACATCTAAACCTTAGCTTTCCTTTTTGGGATATTTAAATACAGTTCATTTGCAGGGTTGATAGGTGGGATTTCTGTATTTGATAGACTCCACTGTTAGTGCCCAGAAATCATGAGTTACGGCCAGTAAACTTAACATTTTCACTTTATAACTGATGCCACAAAGGTCTTCTAGTTCGTATCTGACTGTTAGAGTTTAGTGTCATTTAGAAGCAGCAATTTTTGCCTTAAATAAGCTGGACTTTGCAACCAAATTTAGTTGCTGCTCTTCTTCTTTTTTTCTCCTCTTATTCCTCTTTTTCTCCTCCTCCACTTTGTAATCTAAACATAATTTTTATTGTCTTCACTTCTGTTCATATTCTGTGAAACCCATGCAAGACAATCCCTAGTTTCCTTTCCTTGGTGTCTCCCCTCAGTATTTGTTTTATGATATCTAGCATAATAATAAAAAGCTATTTGATACGCTATATTTAAATTACTCTTAGATCCCTTTCCACCTTCCTGTTTTCTGTCCCCTCTCATTCAGAAAAAGGAGACAATAGTATAATAAATAGCTTTCCTATCTGAAATGGAATCTTTGCCTTCCATCATGTGTTAAACATTAGAATAACAAAAAATTTTGTTCAAGTATGTTAGCGTAAATTTTATCTATTTGTGTAAATAAATAAGTACTTTATTTATTAATAGGTGTTGCTTTATTAAATACCTTTATAATAGGTAATTGCTTTATAATAGGATTTTACTTTATAATCCTACTACTTTGTAATAGGATTATCTACAATTTTGATTTAAATGGTGAACTCTCATAACACATTTAAGACATAATTCAGTTCAATTTAAGTAACTTTATATGTAGCATTCTTAGAATGGATCTGTTGTGTGACATAATATGCAATTATGATGGTAGGTTAGTCTTCTATAGCAAATTTAATCCTAAAACTTGTTATTCAGATGTGATTCAGAGATACTTATCAAAAATACCCTTCCAAACCAGAGTATCAAATTCCACAGGCATAGTTGAAAAAGGGAAAAGTCAATAATTGCAGGAGGCTTTCTTAAACATTTGAAAAAGGAACACAGGCCCTAAAAATGCAAAAATTCTTAGCAAAATAAACCAAGAAAAATGTTTCCTGGAGGAAACAAAAGGCTAACTCCATGGTCATAGTTACTACCTGCAAGGTTGCCCCAAATTGAAATCTCTATCCTCGGCCAGGATCTCTTTTAGAAACTTCAACTTTTGGACATAAATGTTTAATTCTTTTTTAAAAAAAAAAACAACTCTCTACAAACCCACCCACCCACCAGATTATTTTGAAGCAAATCTCAGACATCACATTATTTCATCCATAAGTATTTCAGTGTGTTTCTCTAAAAGATACTTTTACAAAAACCATAACCACAATACCATTATCACACCTAAAAAATTAACTCATTCCTTACTATTATCAAATATCCAGTCAGTGTTCACATTTCCTTAGTTGTCTTAAGTTTTTTGTTTTGTTTTGTTTTTACAGTTGTTTGAATTTCGATCCAAATAAGGTTCTTACATAGCGACTGGTTGATAGGCGTCTACTTACCTATAGATTTTCTCCTCCATCTCCTTTTTTTTTTTTTCCCTTGCAATCTTTCATTGAAGAGAAGGAGTCCTTTGTTGTGTAGTGTCCCACAGTTTGGATTTTGCTAATCAGATTCCTGAGGTGTCACCTGTTTCTCTGTTCATGTATGTCCTTGGCTGTTAGATCTAGAGTTTCAACAGGCTTCAGGAGCAGTGTTTTTCTTCCAGTCTGTTTCATAGGTGATATGTGACCTTGCGTCAGTAAGTCTCCCTAATTGATCCACTTTTAAAGCCTAATGGTCTGCAGTTTACAAGTCATTTTTAGCTGCTAAGAACTTGACTCTCAGGCACAGAGCTCCTCCATTTGGAATGGGAATGGGAGACCCAGACCTCTGTGCCCCTGAACCATCCCTTCACATCTCTCCTTGCCTCCATCCCCTGAGGAACCTCCTGGAAATCTCAGGTTGCTGGAAGACTCTGGTTTGAACTCCACAACTTTAAGCAATGTTTGCAGCAACATTAAACTTACAAACTAAGAGTTACTGGTACTCTTTGGCAAAGACTAACTGCTCTTAGTTATATGATTGGAATTTTAGGGAAGTTTTTGACCCACAGACAAAAGGCACTCTTTAACCCCACAGTCCCAAAGACTGAGACGTCAGGTATTAATTAATACAGAGTTCCTGCTTTCTGAACATTGCAAAGATACTTTTTCCAAAGAGGAAAATAATGTTTCTCCCTGATTATTTAATTATTTACCATGTGCCCACAATTAAAGTAAATATTTAGGCCAGGGCCTTATCTCTGGACCACTGATAGTTTGGTCCAGATATATCTTGGTGCGGGCACTGTCCTGTGCACCATGCAATGTTGAGCAGCATCCTAGTCTCTGCGCAGTGGATGCCAGGAACACTCCCCTACTCATTACCATCAGAAATGTCTCCAGACAATGCCAAATGCCGCTGGAGAGCAAAGTCATCTTCTGGGAATCACTGCTTTAGACAATTTAGGAAAGTACAAAAAAGAAAGTAAAGCCACCCATTCTGTACACGTTCAGTCCATGGGATACAGAATAGAACTTGGAAGTCTAGGAATGGAGCTGAAAGCTGTGGACAAATAACTTGCCTGAGTCCTTGGGTTTTAAATAGCGTGGCACAGGAATGCAGGAGAGACTTTAATAGTCCATTATGAGTGTATCGATCTTACAGGAGGTAATGGAGACAGCATTCAGTTAAGGTACCTCCTAAATGAGATGGGGCACATCCACGCACAAGACTAAAGTATATGATAATTAGCTGTCCGTCTTCAGATGATGCACAGCTAGCCTGAGTTAGGCCAGTGTGTGCTCTGTGTGTGTGTGTGTGTGTGTGTGTGTGTGTGTGTGTGATGATGTGTATGCTATGGGCTATCAGAATAAACAGATAAAGAAGAAGATATTTGTATCAACTTTGTGTATATTGATGTTGTTGAAAAGCCAAAAGTTGCCTATAACTTTATTCAGCTCATGAAGTAGATGAAAAGCTTATTCTTATCGTTTACAGATACTTAAATCTCAGAATTAAATTTTTTTATGTTATACCCAGAAAAACATCAAAACTCTGTTAGATCCATATACTCTTTTTAATTTTGGGAGAACTAGAGAGGATGCTTTTTTGGATTTTAGTCATTCAGGGCCATATAAATAAAATACAAATCCTGTGTAATACATTAACCTCATCAACTTGTATATCAAATAATACTTTAAGGTTATTTGTTGGTACTTAGTGGAATCTGGGTCTTGTGGTTAATGGCAAACAGATTAGGGGATTGAGAGTGTAAAGGGGTAGGGTTAGGTGCAGGATGTAGAGACAGGATTAAAACGAGTTAGTGATGGGAGAAATGTTACCTACTTCATAATTTTTGCCTTGAGCTATATTCACATAAAACAAAGTAGTAATATAAAGTCAAGTAAGAAATAAAAAAAATAAACCTCTGATAGAATGTGTACTCATTTTGGTATTAGACCTCATTAATGTTATTCACACATTTGACATCAAGGTAGCACTAATTAAAACTCCTGGTACATGTTGGAGGCATTGGTGTTTTACCTCTCCTATTTCTGTTCCCTTTGGAATCGGTTCCTTCTGGGTCCCTCAGATTGATTACTTCAACAATCAGATCATCGTGGACCTTGTGGAGCAGCAACACAAAGGGATCATTTCAATCCTGGATGACGCCTGCATGAATGTCGGCAAGGTCACTGATGAAATGTTCCTTGAGGCGCTTAACAGTAAATTGGGCAAACATGGTCATTTTTCCAGCCGGAAGGTAAAACGTTCAATGCGAACTTCCTCTCCTTCTGACCTGAAAGGTTTCCCTCATTGTATGACAGAATTAAATGGCTTTATATGTTGGCTTACAAGTTGTCCACTCAACTAAGAAAGGCCATAAGCATTCATTAAATGATTTGTTACTCCGGCTAAATTCTCTCTCTCTGGTTTACAGGATGACAAGATTGATAAAAATCATAATATCCAGGAGAGGGAGCTCCAGACTATTCAATTTTCTTGAAGTAGGAAAAATAAACATGATTCTTTAGAAAGCATGATGTCATTTGTAACCAATAGGTACAGAGTCCTTATTCCTGTGCCAGAATGTTGCTCCAGCACCTGATAATTTTGGCACTGAAAATAGCTTTTGTCCTTGACTTTTTACTGTAATCCTCAGTTTTAACATGTACTCTGTGTGTTCTGCACAGTTCTTCAGACATTCCTGAAAACAGAAATTCTAGCTGTAATTCTAGTTGTCACAAGGAAATTCATTCCTTAAATGAATGTGTATCCTTTTAACCACCCATTTTTCACATTCTAAAATTACTATAAACAGATCATGTTTCTGTAATCGGTGGTGGCAGTTACGGTTATCAGACCTTTGCGCCATGATTGGCACTAAGTATGTTTGCCATTAATAATTTTCCTAGGAGGGGCACACTGTCATCCCTGAGTGTTTCCTACAAATACCTGCTTGTCTAGCAACCATAAGATGAAGGGAAAACAGACCCCTTGCTCCTTGACTTTTGTATAGACAGGAGCACACATTTCTGCTCTTCCATATTTCCATATAAATCTGTGACGCACTGCCATTTTTTAGCACAAATAAATCTATTTTCTAATTTTATCCCATTTCAAATTATGTAATCAGAACAGTAAGACTTCCACAATTAACTAGATAAAGCACAAATCAAGAAATAGATTAATGGCTGCTGTTTATTTTAGCCAGTTTATTTCTAAAATACTGTCCTTGGTTTGTTCCTGAGGACTGACTTGTAGCTGTACTAAAAGTCACCTTTCAGATACTGTGGTCTGATCTTTGACATTAGGGCCAGTCATTTCCCATTTATAACACAAGTACTTAGTAAGTGCTTCTCACTTTCCAGGTACAATCCTGGGTGCTGGGGACAGAACCATGAGCAAAGTTAGTAGTAACCTAAATCATTTAGAGTGATGCTTTGAAGGGTGGTGTGATCACCCGGGCAAATGTCCCGGCTTTGAAGGATGGGTTATAAATGTCCTTTATAATCCCAGTTCAGGTTTTGGAAACTCGCCTAGCATTGTGCCTACCAGATGGTAGACAATTGGTGTTTGTAAAGTTAAGTTGAATTGGTCACAATCATACCAAATAGATCTTATGGAATATTGAATTCTAAACTAAAATGTGCAAGGCTCCACTTGATTCAGATAAATAACTGTGAATCTCACATGAGAAGTCACCTCATTTTGACATGTTCACCTTGGCAATTTAAAGTTAAATTTGTCAACCAAATATTTTGAAATACAATCTCATTCCTAAGGTAGCAACTGTACATAGTAATTTGAAGCAGTTGTTACTGATTTAATAGGAAATGTTAAACAGTAGTTTATCTGTGGAGATGGGAATTCATTATTCTTCAAATGTGGGTGCCCAGATTTCCCCAGCTCTCAGACCAGGTGGCTCCTTCCTCCAGTATCATCCCCCAAACAAGTCCTGAGATGTATGTTCTCTTCTGGGATTTTTGCCTAATGAGGGAAAGCAGTGAAGTAACCAAGCTGTCAGGGTATTTTCATCACTATGAATCTTTCTGTTAAATAACACTATTATCCTGTATGTTAAGCCAGCTATTACCATTAGCTATTAGTTACTGATAAGCTAGAGTTATTGACATATTAAAAAGAGATTCCTGGCTTGTATTTATTAAGGGGTTAAACTGTTTTTATGTATTAAAGCTATCATGGAGGGGTAGGCAAATGACCCAATAAACCATAGTATTACTAACTAAAATATTAACATATATAGTTAAGTGATAAACACATAACATTTTTTTTAAGTAAAGTAAAATCTAAAATTTTCGATGTTCAGATCAGTTGAGACTGCATCATCCAAATGTAAGAATATTCAGTTAGTGTAAACACCTCTTTGGGTGTCTTTAAAAGAAAGCTGTTGTGTCCTTTTTCTTTGGGAACCCAAGAATGAAAGTGTCTTGTAAGTATGGTTGATAAGAGAGACAAAGAGGGAAAGAAGAATTAAATATTTTGCAGCCCCGTCTGTATGTTAGACTCCTTGGTCTCCGTAGTCCATTTCACCTTCAGAACAACTCTCTGAGATAAGTCATTATTAAGGGAGACAGAACAAGAAGATGGGAGAGCCAAGATTTGAACCTCGAAAATCTGACTCTAATCTCCTGAAATTATTCACTTGTCAGATTAATAAACTAATTATTCCTTTAGCGTCTAGGTATTGGCCTAGAACCCACCGTTCTGGCTGAGGTTGTTTATTATCTGACACTTCAACCTAAGTGGTTTTTGTATGTAACTGTGCTCGGTGCTTTATGGATTCTGGGACATCTGCTTCAGGACCTGTAGGATACCAAGTGATCCTTCACAGGGCAGACAAAGATGTCTAGGTGCTACAGTAACAAGCAAAGTTGAAGCAAATTAGGGAAAGCATCAGAGCTATATAAACACTGTCTTCCTGTGACGTATTCCTCTTAGGAGGAATAGCTGTGGAAGACTGGTCTTCTGTGAACTGGGGTCTCACCTTAGCAGGAGACAGTTGAGCCAGGCTGTTGAGTACATAGAAGAACACAGACATTACAACCAGTCCCAAGAATCCTTCCCAGAACTACCACTTACTAGCTATGTGGCCATGGGCCAGTTACCTAACCTCTTTGAGCCTTGTTCTCCATGTGTGTAAAAGAGAGCTCATAATACTTTAAGTATCAGTCATAAGGGTTGAATGAGATGAATATGCCTAGCAGATAGCAAGCCCTCAGTATAGTCCTTCTTAAGTGGAACATGGAGGAGAAAGAAGCTATCAGGTTGGCTGGGCTGCATTAAGATAACAGCCAAGATTTCAGTATCGTAGACAAGAGTAGTCTCTTTCTATCTCAGGGACCCAGACTTCTTCCATCCCCTAAGCACTCTCTTTCTCTCCGTCCAACTACTGGGAAGAGAAAAGAGTGCTGATTTAAATTAAAGAGTGCAAAGTCTGGAACAGCCACACCTCATTTCCACTGGCCATCCATTGTCCAGAATCTGGTTGCTCGGCCATATCCAACTGCAAGGGCGGCTGGGAAATGGGGTCTCGCTGTGTGGCCTTCTGGTGAAAGCTCACAGTCCTGACCACAGAAACCAAATATTTAAATCAAGCTCCACACAGTGCAATTTCATTCATAACGAGATCATGAACTGTGCCATTATTGTCATCTTGTATGGAGTTGGATATATTTTTGGGAAAGTGAAAATGTCTGTTTTCAAAATTATCTCCTTGATTTTTTAGCTCTGTGCCACAGACAAAATCCTGGAGTTTGACCGAGATTTTCGAATTCGCCATTACGCGGGTGATGTAGTGTGAGTATCTTAATGTGGTACCTGACATGAGAATTTGCATGCACCCTCACTTCAGATAATATAACCAGGGAAAATACAAATTATCTTTCTATTCATTTGCACTTTCAGTCATTTTATATGCTGGGAGATTTTAATCTTTTTACTTAAAAAAAGAGTCGGCATAACTTCATTCATTCCTTGATTTTGAACATACTGTGTGGCCGCGCACAGTTCCTGATGTAGTTGGTGCTCAGTAAGAATCAGCTGATGGATGAATAAGTCACAGAAGTACGTGAAGAGCTACCATAGAAAGATGGATAGATGGGCCTTGCCCTGAAGCAGCTAATGGCGTAGCGGTGGGTACAAGCAGATACACAGTAAGCCGCTGTAGTGCAGAATGGGAGCACTGATGGGGAGTAACCAGCCAGAGTGAAGAGGGCAGAGAAGTCTCTGGAGGAAGTGACACCCATACTGAGCCGTGGGAATAAAAGAGGCTTAGTCAGGGGACAGAATTAGGAAGAGACATGGGAGACAGGAGAGCATTGCGAGCCGAAGGGACAGCAGGCCTAGAGGCCCGAGGCTGGGGTCACTACTGCGTGTGATCTACAGGTAGTTGGGTAACTATGAGCAAAAACCAGCGTCACCATAATATTTTTTAATGTTATTTGAAAAAGTAAAATCCTCACAGGCTACATTTTCTGATGACATGAAAGTAGAAATTGGTAAGAAAATATAACTAAAAAATACAATTGCTTTAGTATTTTAGTTTCCTAGGGCTACTGTGACACATAACCACAGACTGATGGCTTAAAACAACAGAAATTTATCCTTTGGCAGTTCTGGAGGCTAATGGGTAACTATGAGCAAAAACCAGCGTCACCATAATATTTTTTAATGTTATTTGAAAAAGTAAAATCCTCACAGGCTACATTTTCTGATGACATGAAAGTAGAAATTGGTAAGAAAATATAACTAAAAAATACAATTGCTTTAGTATTTTAGTTTCCTAGGGCTACTGTGACACATAACCACAGACTGATGGCTTAAAACAACAGAAATTTATCCTTTGGCAGTTCTGGAGGCTAAAAGTTCAAAAATTGGGGTGTCATGGTGTCCCACTCTGGAGGCTGTAGAGGAGGATTGTTTCTTGCTTTTTGTAGCTTCTGACAGCTACAGGCATTCCTTGGCCTGCTTCTGCGGTCACACTGTCTCCTTCTCTTGGTGTGTCTGTTTACTTAAAAAAAAAGAGTCGGCATAGCTTCATTCATTTCTTGATTTTGAACACACTGTGTGGCCATGCACGGTTCCTGACATAGTTGGTGCTCAGTCAGAATCAGCTGATGGATGAATTAAGTCACAGAAGTACGTGAAGAGCTACCATAGAAAGATGGATAGATGGGCCTTGCCCTGAAGAAGCTAACAGCGTAGCGGTGGGTGCAAGCAGATACACAGTAAGCCGCTGTAGTGCAGAATGGGAGCACTGAGTGGGACCCTATGACACCCCAATTTTAAACTCCCTGTGCCTCTATCTTAAAATTACTCTTGTGAAAACAGCATGTAGGGCCCACTTGGATAACAAGGAATAAGCTTCTTAACATAATCACACCTTTTGCCACATAAGGTAATGGTCACAGGTTCCAGGGAATCTGACGTGGATGTCTGTCGGGGGGCATCCTTCAGCCTACTATACATACAGGCTTTGGCTGTCCCTGAACACTGCTCCTTTTTGTATTATTGTTTAAACTTCCTTCTTTTGCTTCCTCTTTATTTTTTACATTAGGAATTCTACGTATACAACCCTTTATGGGAAGAGATTAAACAACACCAAAAAAAGCAAATGATCATCTCTACAAATGCTGAAAAGACATTTGAAAAAAATTTTAATAGCTGTCTGATTTAAATGAAAACTCTAGAATCATAAAACAATTCGGCTCAAAATTATCACCCCATCTGTCAAAGTAGCCATTAGTGCTAGAGTGGGCACCGTTTTCCACTTTTTCAGGTCCTGTTCCAGGCTCCAGGATACTGAAGAGGAAAGGCCCAGCACTGCCTGGGTGTCTTCCACTGAAAACCCAGGCCCCACTTAGAAGGAATGGCATTCAGCTCAGAAGGGCATGAAAGCAGAGCTGCACAGAGGCCTTAGAGACCGCAAGGCCAGCCCCTTTGAGGGACATTCAGTGCCTCAGACTTCCCCTTCACTCCTTAAGCCCCTTCAGTCTTTTTCCAGATTTTTACTGGAAATCTTCTGTGAGCACAGTACTTTATAAGGTATGTTACCTGCCCACAAAGAGCTTTCCATGTAGGATGCATATGTAGTTTGTGTGTGTTTGTTTATTGATACACATAAGTCTATATGTTATGTGTATGAATAAATACATACATACATGCATTTACATGCATGTCTAAAGTAATTCCATATGAGCAATAATAAGTGTTGTCAGAATTCAGAATAAGCAAATGGTATAATACTTCTTTCTGTATGGCATAAACCCAGGAAAGCTGATGCTAAGAATTATTTTTATAGGAGGAAGTGGGAAGGGTGCTAAAAATATTCAGGAAATAGCAACTCAGTCCATTTGACTGGAGTATATCCTTTTTATAGCATAGAAAAGTGGAAATGCCTGGAACAGTAGATTGAGATCAAATCATAATGAGTCTTAAAGGCCAAAATAGGGACTTTGAAGTTTGAATTTTATAGGTTAGACAATAGATTCTTAATCTGAACTGTTTGGTTCTTAATCAAAACTGACTTGAAGGTATTAGGAAAAAGGCCTAGGTTGGGAGAAGTGAGGAAATAATCTTGGACGTGGTGGCCTTAAAGTGCCAGGAGGCAGCACAGCTTGAAGGGATTTTCTTGCAGAGGTAAATGCGTAGCCAGCTGAAACATGTTAAGGTATCAGGGTTAGTAATCTTAGAATTATCTATACTGATGTGATTGTCAAGGAAGAAAATATATACAGGCAAGAAAGCAGAGCTGGAAGGAGCAGCTGCATCTCAAGTTACTGTTTGCTCAACCTCCTAGCCTCTGTCTTAATCACCCAGAATCCTCCACTGCATTATACCCCCTCAACACTGAGCTCACTCCTGGATTCCATGCCAGTCATACAGCAGAACAGCTCCCATTTCTACCTTTGTCATCAACTGCACTCCTAGCTGGACTTCCAGGACCTTACTCATCTCCCTTCCTCCAAACCATGCATCTTGGCCTCCTCATTTTCTCTCAAGAACTCCATGCATGTGCCTGCTTCCATCACTTCATTTAGTCTATTTTCCTGTATGATCTGTCTTTCTCCTTCTCCTCTTACCATCCTTTGCAGTTCTTGGATTCTTTTACCCCGCCCTGAACACACTGAGCGAACTTAGGCAAGTCAATGACCTCCGTATGGATGAGACTGTTAGTTCCTGTATGTTGCTGTTTTGCTCTTATCTTAGGAATGCTGGGTGATACATACAGCTATCTTTTTAAGTCATCTTCTTGAGGTAAGTGATAAACCAGTAGAAAATGATGATCTTAATCATAATGATGTACTGATGTCTACACTCCATTTGAGGGATAGAAACACCATCCCCTCTGTTTAGTAGGAAAATTTGACATCCTTTAACACAGAACAAAATAAACAGTATCAGCTTTATAGATGTTTGATTGTATAATTAACAGTGGAAAGATTTGTAGACTTCTAGAAAAGCTTAATGTGGCTCTTGGTTGGTGAATAATGCATGTTTTCTATATATTTTTTTCTCTATTAGGTATTCTGTCATTGGTTTTATTGACAAAAACAAAGACACTTTATTTCAAGATTTCAAGCGCCTCCTGTATAACAGGTAAGATTAAAGTTTTATTAATTATCTTTGCATTAAGCTCTTTGACATACATATTGCACAATATACATGTACATGATTATTTTTATGTGACAATTTCAAGACTATGGCAGATTTTGTAGTTCTGCTTGATCATACTTAATGAATGAAATAATATTTTATGATTATAAAATCTATAAACTTAGGGGAGGGACCTGCTACTAATAGGATTTTTCTTGATTTCCCTTGGGCTGCCTTGGTGTCCTGTTCACTGCAGCCATCCTTCTGGGCCTCCCATCCAGGGTACTCAGCAGTTCCCAGGCCCAGGCCAGGGGCAATGGGAAGAGTGTCAGATAACCTCTGGCCCAGCTGATTGCTTTCCACACTCAGATTCTCCAGAGACCACTCTAATATCAAAGTGACATCTAGTGCCAGTGATAGGTCCTGAGTGGACAGAACCTTCTCACAAACCCAAAAAAATATGAAAAAACTGGCAAAATAAAACCAGGCCAAGGAGAGCAAGTTCAAACCCAGTATCAATACTTTCTCTGAGAAGAAGCCCTGGGAAGAAGAAAAGATTCTTAGCCAGCTTCTTCTTTTGGATTAAATAATTATAGTCACTCATTAATTAAGTGTACTTATTCAGCTAGTCAGTAGCTCATCAAAAATGAACTGGGCACCTCTGAGCCACACATCCACAGCTATGGGAAAATTTAGACTATATCCCTGCCCCCATGGATCTTACATTCTAGTGGAGGTGACACTTAATAAACAAGAAAACAATTAACTTTAAGATGGTGACCAATGCTGTGAAGAAAAATAAACTAGGTAAGAGGTTGAAAGGTACAGACAAGGAAGGGCAAGGGAGGCCGTGTAGACACAGTAGTCAGAGAAGCCTCCTTAAAAGAGGTGACATTTGAGCGTAGACCTGAATGAAGTGAGGGAGCGAGCCATGAGCATTTTGGGGGGAAAGAGCACTCCAGGTGAGAGAGCAGACAGTACCAAGGCACTAAGGTGCAAATGAGCACAGGTGTGTTAGGATAGCAAGAAGGCAACATGCCTAAGAACAGTGAGGGACAGGGTGACAGATGGGGAGTGAATTTAGACAGGGCAGCAGGGCCCAGATCATGAATGTGGGACTCTTGACAACACTAGTTTCAGTAGAGTTGTGAAGTTATGAAGACAACGTTGTGGAGTTGTGAAGATAAATGTCTAATTGAAATGGGCTCAAGAGAATACAGAAAATGAGAACGTGGAAACATTGTATTTAAGCAGTTCTTTCAAGAAGTTCTTCCACCTGTGAAATGGTTCATCAGTGTGAATGGGGAAGCCACCAAGAATGGTGATGGAGCTGTCAATCACTAGAAAATTAGAGAGACATGGGAATATGAGAGGGAATATGAGATGGTAATTGGGAAAAGGGACTTTCAGTGCTCAGTTTATCAGGTAAGATGCACCCATTTGGAGGAGCAGTGACAGAGTCTGGCCTTGTTCTGTGTAGGATACATCAAAAACTCAAATTGGAAGCATGACTTCTGTTGGCCAGTGGCAGTGGCAGAGTGCGTTGCAAGGGAAGGGCAGCCAGGCTGTGCCCTAGCAGGCTGCAGATGGTGGCATTTGTCACCTTCATGAGTTTATCATGGCTCAGAGGTTTGGCTCTCGGAGAGCAGCTCCACCTTCGAGCAAGAGAATCACATAACCCCAAGGTTATATCATAGAACCAGTGCAGAAACAAAGCGGTATATGGGTTTATTTCCAGTGAGAAACCTAATAGTCATGTAGGATCGAATACTTGCACTGGGATGACAGGCTATGTTTCCCCTACTGGAAAACCTGCTTGGGAATTCAAATAACAACGAGAATTCTAGTTTATTAATTGACAGTGAAAAATATCGCCTTAGTTGCTTGGTAAGCACAGAATCAGAACACAGGAACTTAGATAAACCAAATAATTAAAGGCATTCAGCTAAGATGAATCCATTTCACAATAGGGATGGTCTTGCCAAATACGTAGAAAGATTAAAAGTCTACTGACTGTAGCTCACTGTATGTATCTCTGTAATAGGAAAGACCTCACCGGTGGGATGGGCGGTCTTGAATTATTTTGGATAAAGCCTTCCTCCTAGATTGTTGGGCTGCCTTTGCATCTGGACACTTTTTAATGCCTCTATGACTAAACAACAACCCAAAATGTCAATCTTTTCTTTCTTTACATATGTTTAAAGAGTAATCCTTGGATCTCTAGCTCTGTAGACCTTGAGAGTATACATGCATGTATGCAACACGTGTGTGCGTGCGTGTGTGTGCATGTGTGAGTGAGAGTGTAAATGGAAGGAGGAAGGGAGCTAGCAGGTGGCATGCCAGGTGCACAGATGTGGCTTCACTACTCTCTCATTAGCCATGTAAGTTCTGCCTTCTCTATTATATCTACTGGGTATGTAACCTCCCCTTTTCAGAAAAGGGTTCTTTTAAATGTTTGTAAACTGTTTTGTTACTATTACATTCATGACATAATGACTGGAAAGTTCTTTCTTTTTAAAATGATTGTATTTGTCTGTTTTGATCCATTATGTATCACTCTACTGTTTAATAATAAAATAATAATAAACATCTTATTTGCTTCATTTCCAACATTCCCTTTCATTTATGTTAGTACAGGAATAGTGTCTAAATATGGCCAGCAGTGAATAAGGTAGAATTTGGGGGTAGAAAATGCATAACCCCAAAACCTGTGATCTTCAGTCTTCGGCATGCATCAGAATTTTCAAACATGTGCTCAACTTTCTAGAAATTCTTCTGAGCAGGTGTTAGGAAGTTATCTGGGTATCATGTGCCCTAAAGATTGAGACCCATTTCCTTAAGTTCTCTGTATGCTAAAGATTAGAATGAAAAGTTAAAGAACTGTGTATCTGGTCATTTTTATTGATATGTGTATCTTTGGAAAATTATGGAATAGGACTAGAAAGTAACAAAACTGGGTTCATACTCTACACGTGCTTGCGTTATTTTATAACCACTTTTGATAGTAGTTGCCACTGCCTGCTAGCAGTGGTGAGAGCTAGGAGCATTGCTCTGTCGTCGCCCATAGGCCTCATCAATCTTCACCTTAGCAGCTATATTCTTTGCTCTTTTGTCATTATTCTGGCATTTTGCAGTTACTGTTTTGAGCCTGTATGGACAGAAGTTTACAGGTGTTCGGGAAACCGTCACAATTTTCTCAATTTTATACCAGCGAAAGAAAAGTGGTCAAAGTGATGGCAGTAGAGAACCCAATTAGTAGCGAATGTCCATGTTAAGTCTTTTCCCTTCTCACTTCCAACCAATTTAAAAAAAAATTCTGACAAGAGAAATTTCCAGTAAGCAAGCAGCATTTCGATTTGCAATTACTTTATAATCAAAAGCACCCACAATGAAACAGGGAGAAAGTCAGAGTTGAGCCCATCACCCATGTTTTTAAAAATATCCACAGAGCCAAATAATGACATTGTTAGCATGAAAACTGGCCCGAAGTGCACTCTGAGAACTGGATTGCAGTAGTCCTATGACACATCAATAAAATATCATAACTGCCAAGGCTGCCTATAAATGTGTTCAGAAATTCAGTTGCAGGGAAGGGATTTCTAGATGACAATATAAATATGTCCGTTTTATATTCCTGTCTGTATTTTTAGAAAGACCTGGCTTTCTGTAGTGTTACCTGTCCTATGTGAATGCTTCTGTTAGAATATGCTTTCACTTCATGTTTTCAGCTGTGTCTTTGAGGACCGTTTTCTTACTAATGGTGTGTCCTCATTCTTTATAACCATTTTATTTTATGTATATACCATAAGGCCATGTTAACCACATGAAGGTCCTAGGTAATAATATGGATGTCACTTTAAAGAAGCTTAAAGACTCATTCCAATGTGCATAGTTCAGAAACATCTCCTCCATCTGAGGTGCAATATCTATTGTTATACTTTCAGCATAATTTTCTGGATACTATCATTTTTCCAATTAGGCCTCTTTGAGTTCAGTCTACAGTCCGGTTGTTACTCCCCGGGCACAGTACATTGGGATTGCTCAACGATTCTTATTCAGCTTATTTGAATGTAACATTTGAATTGCTGGTTCTGTGCTTCTCAGTTCGAATCCTGTGCTGAAGAATATGTGGCCCGAAGGCAAACTGAGTATCACAGAAGTGACCAAGCGACCTCTGACTGCTGCCACCTTGTTTAAGAATTCCATGATCGCTCTAGTAGACAACCTTGCATCAAAGGTAATGATTTTCTTTTCTAAATATCCATTTTAATTCTTGGATTCCCTCTTGGTGTATGTTATAGAGGATGTATGTATGATTTGCTTTCTGCGTAACTGTAGTAAATTAAACTGAAAATATATTTAAAGAATGTTATATAGAATTTTATTCCTGTTTTATTTCATTTTTTAATGTGGTTTGTGTCACAGATGAAATGCTTTTCTTAAATTTAGGCTTTTTATCGTACTGTTGTCATAAAGGGGAAAGTCTTAGATCTTTAAAAAAATTACACACACACACACACACACACACACACACATATATAAAGTATAAAATATGTAAAATATATCTGACATTCTTGACTTTTGGCCCTATGCTGAAGAAAAGGCGTGGCTTTGAAAAATCTTGATTTAAATAGTAACATATCATGCACATATTGTATCTGAATACAAAATGACCAGGTAGAGTTCTAAAAGGAAGTTTAGTATGTAAGTATTGTCCTTAGACTATTTTAAACAGATGAAATAAGAAGTTTATTATTGACAGTTATTTCTGCTTTTTATTGTTCCTTTGACGTCTAATACCATTTGATAACTTTAGCCTAGTTTTCTGGTGCTTTTTTCTTTTCCTTAAAGAACAGATTTCTACTCAACTACCACTGTTGACAAGTTTGATAAATTAGGCCACATTCTGGAACTCATTATTTTTGGCCCCTTTACTTTTCTCTTCTTGTGCTTTTCCCATGAATTTTTTTCTTCATTATTATCCTTTTTTTTAAAATCAACTTCCTCTCCAAGAATTTAAATCTACACTGTTCCTGCTTCACAATGGGTAAATTAGGCAAATGCCATAAGACCACATCTGTTCAGTGGCTTTCTGTTTTCGTCAGAATCCTTTGGCCTCAAGTGACAACACATAAGCTCATTCAGTTGGCTTGTGTAGTCAAACCTCCAGAAAGGCAGGTGTGAGGACACAGGAGCCGAAGACCAGGCTACCATTAGAATTCTTCCCCTTGCCTCTCAGCTTCTCTCCGCATGTCCCCCTCAACCTGCCTCATCCAACAAGAACGAAAGGGAACCTAGAAGGCAGGCGGATGGCACAAGACACCGAGTTGAACACAGAATTTTATAAAATGTATTTTATAAACCACATATTTATAAAATGTATTATTTAATAAATATGTGGTTTATAAAATCGATGAGATTTCATTTAACTGGAAAATAATCACTTTTGTTTTCTAAAATTGGTACTTAAATGTGCATTTTCAAAAAGTAAAAATTCTAGAACCATCTGTAATTTCTGTGTCAGGAATTGCATTCAGCTGCTAGTAAAAGAATCCCTTCCCCCCACAATTAGTGGCTTACAGAAGAGAGCATTATTTTCTCTCTCCTGTAAATGAAGTACAGAAGAAGGTCTCCCATGACTGATATAGCAGCTCTAAGGCTACTAGGCATCCAGGGTCCTTCTGTCTTTCTGCTGTGCCACCTTCATGTTTGCTGTCCATCCTCTGGGTCCAAGACGGCAGCTGGAGCTTCTTCCCTTTCAGAGGGATTTCCTGGAAGGCTCACTCAGCACTACACCTGCATCTCATTTGCTGTATCTAGTTGCCAGAAGCTAGGAAGTGCATTTTTATTCTGGTCAGCAGTGCACCCAGCTAGAAGTAAGCATTCTGTTTCAAAGTAAGAAAAAGATACTGGATATGAGGTAGGCAACTAGCCTAGCAGTCACTGCCATAGCTTCCCAATTTGTGTGTCTGCAGAGGTGGGGCAATGAGGGAGAGAGAGCAGGGACAAGCAAAAGAAAATAGACAGTTTATCAGTCTAATATAAGGCAGGAGGGTGGGCAGGGCAGAAACAAAGGAAAATGTTACATTTAGAAAATACAAAATAATATGATAGAAATAAATCCAAAAAATTGGTACTCACCATAAATGTAAATAGACTAAAAAGACTAAGTAGGTGGAAAGTCCAGGTATATGCTGCTTATAGGAAATACCTAAATAACACTATGCACAAAGATGAAAAACAAAGAGAAGGGTAAAGATGTATCAAGCACCCCCCCTAAAAAAATAGTTAAAAGCAATACTAACATGAGAGACCATATAATTTTAAAAAAACAGTATTAATACAGATAAATTAATAATAATAAAATGAAAGCCATTTTGACAACATAGCCATAAATATCCATGAACTTTATAAAGCAAAAAAAGAACCTGGAAATGTTTAAAGGAAAATTTGGTAAGTCCACAACCCTAATGGGAGATTTTAAACCAACTCTACCAAAACCTGATAAATCAAGCAGACAGAAACCTTAGTAAGAATGCAGAAGCTTTGAAAACACAATTTAAATTTTATCTAATAGAGCAAAAGAGCTCTATACCCAGAGAATAGGAAATATATATTCCTTTCAAGTATACATGGAACATTTACAAGAACTGACCACATGCTGGATCACAAGGGAAGTCTCACCCATTTTAACAAATGTATATACACATACATTCTCCATCCTCACAGCAAGTAAAATAAATTCAGCATTTAAGAAGGTTTTTTTTTTTATGTGTTTGGGATCTTGAGAAAAAAATGCTGCCCTAAATAACTCAGAGGTTGAAGAGGAAATCATGATGGAAATTCAAAATATCTAGAACTACGTGACAAAGAATTCATCTATATTGGGAGTATACTGTTAAAACAATCCACTCATTATGCCTTTATAAGAAAATCAAGGAAGATTCACAGAAAATGAATTAAATTCAACTCAAGAAGCCAGAAAAAGAACTCCAAAGGAAAAAAAAAAGAAAAAAGAAAATAACCACTCTGTTGTATATTTGAAACCAATATAAGATTGTATATCCATGGTACCTCAATAAAAAGAACTCCAAACAAAATATAAAGAAAGAAGCAAAGAAGATAATTTTAAATAGCAAAAATTAAAACAAATAAAAATTGAAATAAACATTTAATAAAACTGATAAAAAATCATTACTAGGAATGAAAAAAAAGGACTTCATACAGGGATTGTAAAAAACATAGAATATTATGCTAGCAAATTTGAAAAATGAGTGTTCTAGAAAAATGTTATCAAAATTAACTCGAGAAGAAATAGAAAACTGAGTAAATCAGTAACTTAAAGATTCTGATTCACTAATCAGAATTCTACCGTCCCCCAGGTCTGCCAAGAACATCAGGCCCAGACTGTTTTACAAACCCTTCAAGGAGCCAGGAACCCCTTTTACATACAAACTGTTCCAGAGAGTGGGAAGAAGAGAGGCCGCTACCCAATTCATTTTATGAGATTAATATTACCTTTCACCAGGTTGAAATAATAGATCAGTTTCACCTGGTAATGTAGGTGTAAAGATATCTTAAAAACATACACAAGTAATGCATTTTCTGGTAACATGGTGAACAAAGTGGTTACTAAAACCAACTGAAAACAACTAAAATGTTAGGTAAAATATAAAAATCAACTTTTGAATGCAGCCGTGAACTAACCAGAAAGTAAGAAATATGCAGGCTGAGAGAAGGCAGAAGTAAACTGAGTGAAGGGAAAAACAGTCACTAAAGCTTCCTTTCACCCTGCAGGGTTTTGTTAAAGGAGGTAACTTTGAGGGCCTGCTCAAAGTAGAGTGTCTAAAGGGAGATCACACACACACATCTCACGCACCATTGTGGTTCTTCAAAGGGTTGCCTCCTCAAAGGGATACGGCTACCGTGAGCTAGAAGTAATCCCTCATTATGTGAAAGGAATACTGCCTATCCTGGTCCTTGGTGCTGAGCTGGTGGGATGGGTTGAATGTTCAGGGGGGCTCAGTGAATGAAAATGCTCATGCCAACAATTAAGTTTAAAGTGGTCTACAACTGGTATTGCCCCTAGGCATGACAGACGCAAGAACAGTTTTTTCCTTGAAGAAACCACTTTTCTTAAAGAAACTACTCTACCAGACCTTAAAGAATTTCCATGGATTAAGTTGCAAGGAAAATAAGGAGTTCCCAGTAAAGAATCACTATGCATATAAAGAAACAAAATACCACATGTGATGTTGACACATGGTAACTACAAATATTCTAGTGAGCACCTAGTAATGTATATAATTGTCAATTCACCATGTTGTTCACTTGAAACCAATATGTACTGTATATCAACTATATTTCAATTAAGAAATATACTGTACATGAGAGTCAGATGAAACAACAGATTTAGACTCATGAAAACTTCTTAAATTGGCATCATCAGAAACAAAATATAAGAATGTTTAATGTGTTTGAAGAAATGAAAGGCCTAAAAATATGAGAAAGAGCAGGTAACTAGTCAATTGGTAGAAATAAAACTAAATAATTAAAATTAAAAACTCAATGGGTAAGTTTAAATTAGTTTAGACAAAGTGGAAGAGAGAATAGGGAAAAATGAAAGCAAGAATTGTTACCCAGAATTCTACTTAGATCTGGAAATGAAACATAAAGAGACATGGAAGGTAAAAATGAAAGGCCTCAGGTACATCTAATCAGAGTTATGTAAGGAGAGGAAAGAATGGACAGGACAATATTTGAAGAAATATTGCTGACAATTTCAAAATAAAAGACACACTCCACAGGTTCAGGATGTCTAGTATATCTGAAGCTGGAGAAATTAAAGGAAATCTGCATCTAAGTACCTAGAGACAACCCAGAACATCAAAAACAAAGAAAATACCTTAAAAACATATTATCTCCAAAGGAGATACAGTTAAACTGAGAGAAAAGAACTACAAACCAAAAGTCTATGCCTAGAGAACATATTTTTCAAGAATAAGGACACAATAAAGAATTTTTCTGAAAAATAAAAGCTGAGGAAGTTAGAACCACACTAAAGGAAATTTTAAAGCATAAACATCAGGCAGGAGGAAGAGTATAGTAAATGAAAGTCTGAGGTGCTAAAATAAGAGCAAAGAAACTGGTAAATGTTTTGATGCATATAAATAAACTGTAAAATAATATCTCATTGGATTAAAATACAAAATTAGCATTAAGTAGCACAACAACAGC